AACAACATCATTTAGATACACTTGAGGAAATCTTTCTAGGAGACATACAAGATGAATAGCATCTACTTACATTTCGTAAATTTTCCTAAGATTCATGGCATTCACTCGACATTCAATTTGTTTTATCTTTTAACAATTAAACTAGCCACAAAAGAAGCAATCTGACAATTTACACAAGACCATTAAAATCTTTGCTTCAATCTTGATAGATTTTCATCATTCAAGGTTGCATAATATATCCTGTAGAATGAGTTCCTTTTAATACTGATATGAATATTATAGTGACTTTCATAGAAAAAATATACTCCAAAAATCCAGCCTTCCCTTTGTCATGGTCTTTCCCTCTTCATCAACGCAAAGTCTTTTGATTTAGCATTCTTTATATTTTTGTAGGAGAATAAGTTTTTTTCTTAACAACAAATTCAACTGCATAGTTACAAAATATGTTTAAAACTAAACAGATAGCTGGTTAAACAATACATTTGCATTTTTGAATTATAAAGAACTTTTTAATTAATTAAACCCACCTTATTTGCTCCAGGTTTCTCTCATTCCGATTGAAGATACATTTTAAGCCTTTTATATTGATTGAGAAAAATGGTGCTGCTAACTTTTCACGTAAAGTTCAAATCTAAGAATTCCAGACTATGGGTTGCATAATTTTATTCATGTTTTTTTATAATTTACAACTTATTTGAGTCAAGATGCAACATTGGCACTTCTTCAAAATCTTTTGATCATTCAAACTGATAATATAAGCTCTGACTAATGCTTGAATTTCAAAAAAATATTCGCAAACCTTTGGCATTTAATAAAACATGGCAAATTTCTCATTAAAACTGACTCAATATGGATGAAAAAACTCTCTAATATTTAATAACAATTAGTTAACCTCAGATCTCAGAAAGCTTGATATCTCTATGAAATTAAAGGTACGAGTCAAATGAATTAACTTTAATGTTCCAGTACGCTAAAATTCTTTCTGTTAAGAAAGAATGAATTTCCAATAGCCAAAATCCTTATCAATTGAACAGGGCATAAAATAAGTGATCGCTTCATCTTTATGAGCTTACACCAATATATTGCTCATGCTCATTCCAATAGTCCTTATAAATCAGAATAACATCAAAACGAATTTTGACAAACTAATATTTATATTGATGGAATATTCTGCTCAACAAAGTTATGATAATTACCAATGTACAACAGTGAAAAAGTTATAATCGTAGTAACCTTATTATTTGTTCTCATAAATGACATCGTTTTTTTTTCCAAACTGCAATGTATATTTATTAATAAAAAAACTCGAGCAATCTACACAATTGATCAAATAGATGGATCTATCCTTGAAATAATAATTTATCTTAAAAAACCTAAATAGCTATTTCATCAAAACCTCAATAATTAGTGGTAAGCTAAATATAAATATACTTCATCAAAAAAATGTATCATCCCATAGGAGATATGCTTGGTTAAATAAACCGTAACTCCAATAGCAGTTTGAGCTTTAAATTTGGTTTTTGAGCTTTCCAAATTAATTGATAGCAATTGCATAAAGCAATTAAGTTAAAGAAAAGATATTTAGAAACATACTTAATAAATAAAAATATCACTCTTTTGGGTGCAACTCTAGTAAAATCCGAGAGAAAATATTTTGTAATTCCTATGCCATCTGTCCCTCCTGATTTGAGCTATTTTATAGTCAATGACTTGCTACCCTTCAATCATGAAATGATCTCAAACTAACAAACAAGGCCAGCTCTTTTATTAACAAATTCAGATGGCTCAACTCGAATGTACAGTGTAAGTGGTAATATGACGATCATATAACATTAAGAAACCTAAGAGCCTAAAGAACGCCTCGTTCGTAAAGTGTCTAAAAACTCAAAATGTGAGAAAATGTTCCATAAAAAATTGTCTTAATAATCATATTATAAATCCCTCGTGTGTCACAATACTTCACAAAATTAGTCTCCACAATCAAAAAAGATATTGTGACCAACAAAATGATTAAGAATAAAATTGATTCATCAAGTCATAATGAGAAAGTCAACACTTGTTCAAGAATGCTAAATTAGCAATCTTATATAAATGGTCAGGTGCTCGTAGAATTAGTTCAACGGGTCATACATTATCTCAGAAACCCGGTATGGGTTAATGAACCCCCAAAATACGCATCTCTTTAGTTGCTTTGCATAAAAATAAGTGGCTAAAAGGCTTGCTTTGTTCATCCACTGATGGGTCTTTATACCAAAAAAAAAACCTAAGAAAATAATTATAAACTACTAAGTACAGAGAACTTTAAAAAACTCTATCCAAACTCTCTACCTTGGACAGTGGGAGGAGGGAGTAATTTGTGGCACACACTTTTAATAAAGCATGTAAATCCATGAAACTTCTTTTTTCATATAAGCACATGGAACTATGACACTCCTCTTCATGTTAAGCATATGAATCCATGATACTCCTCTTTGCATGTTAAACCCATAAAAAAAAGAGTTTGGATGACCCGTCACAAAATAAATGATTTAATATGCTTAACATTTATTTTGTAATTTTAAATAATACTTTCATTTCATTTCTCATCCAACAATCATAATACTTTCAATACTTTGGAATAGCATGACCTTGAGAAAACTGGTTTAAAGCTTTAGCTTATCAAATTGTAATATGATAAATAACATTGTTAAAGATGCAAATTAACAATGAGTTTGGGATAGTTACATTGGCAACATAAGAATGATAGCTTAATTTGTTTTATCATATGCAAATTTAAAATCAAAAAAACATAAGGATAATTTCATAAATAGTTTTTAATTGAAAATAACAATGAAAGTTCATAATTAAAATTGATTCTCAAGGACGATAGCATGAGTACGCTCTAGTCATGGTGCCACCAAAAAACAAAACCTTCAAAGTTCAATAAAGCACCTCACTAATTATATAAATTGTAATCTTCCTTGTAGCTTTCCATGTGAGCATTAACATCACTTTACTCGATTCATCAAGATCGTTCTTCTCTATTAAATTAAACATCAAATATCAATATTTGCAAAACAAATTCTTATCCACATCTTTTTTCGCCCGCCAAGATGGAAACATGTATGCCTAAGGCCCTAAATAATATTTGGGTACCAACATAGGATTCCCAATAGCTATTTTTAACCAGAGTTTTGTCGTATCAACTATACCAACAAATGCGGTTAAATACATCCTTAATTAAATAAGCTTGACATGACATGATAATAATAAATGCATGATTGTGAGTTCACTGATCATTAACAACTAAATAGAGATTCCTGATACAATAGGCAATGATGGAGTATGTCCTCCAATTAGCAAATGAAAAAATATCTCTGTGTGACCACAACACGACTTTAGGAGACAACATTCCAAATAGTGTACCGCTACACACAAGCATATCATTCCAACACTCAACTTTCATCATCCTCATCATCATGCACATGACTGAATTGCATTTGTCTCCATCATACTCAAATATATAAATAATAATACTAGGAATCTAGAAAAAAAAAAATTCTCAATTTGGAGTGAACTTTCAACAAGTTATAATAATTAACCGCATCTTGAAATTATCATTCTCATAATAGCATTGATAATTTGCATGTATCACGGAATCTAGCTTGCAATGCACATTCATGGGACCTCCATCCTTATATCTCTAATGCCTATGTGTTATTTGAACATGAAAGAGCTAAAACAATGACAGGTGACAATAATAAATTGGGTTATAAGATTCAATTATGAGATCCCTATTCTTAATGACATTTCTAACTGCTAAGAGAAATTAATTAAGTTATACTAGTTGAAGAACCTAATTTTTAGCCATCATTGATCAACCCCCAAATTTCACTCATAAAGAATAACCATCTCTTACAATATTCTTTTATCAAGATATGCATATACTTATCTTATCAATTTGACATTATTTATAAGAAGATAGATTATTGTACCACAAAAATTGAAGTATATTCAATGGTGTCCAACAATTTAAGAACCTCGCACAAGCTATACCAACATATCATATAGTGCTAAAATAGCAAGATTTTTGATGAATTTGCCTTAAAACAATACTCATCAATTTGTCGCAAACATCATGACCTGTCAGATAGCGCTGCTAAGATATTATTTTTTTACATTAAACTTGTCATGAACTTGACTCAAAAATGATGATTAGTTAAATAAGAATTTCAATGAATAAATTATTTAGCATTCGAAAAGTGATAAAGGGCAAGTCATCATCTACTCCCACCCTCCCTCCCCACCCCCTTCTCTCTCTCTCTCTCTCTCTCTCTCTCTCTCTCTCTCTCTCTCTCTCTCCCGCGCCACACAACCACAAAGCCTCTCTCTCTCTCTCTCTCACGCGCCACACAACCACAAAGCACTTGGTAAGTTTGTGGCGGGTGAAGGTTTCATAACCATAAAGTGCGAGTGACTTTGGAGACGAGAAGTTGTCATAACCATTAAGAGCACAGTGAGTTAGTGGAGGTGAATGCATCAAACCGGGAAATATTCAATCTTTGCCTCCTTCAATTAGGCTAAACCCAAGGGGCCGCAAGGAGAAGTTCCATCATCTCCTAGAATCCATCTTAGTCCATGGAGCAAACCATGGATAAAAAATTATGCAATTCACAAAGCCCATAGAAATCTTCAGATGCATGGGTTTATTGATCATTTCTCATTGAGAAAACTCACTTTATGTAGATAATGATTTCATGCTATAGTTCAGTACAAGTAAAAATTTTAAAAATCCATAATAATTAGGGTTTCCATGTTCTGAAACCAAGGGACATGCACGCGCATCAATAACTTTCCATCCGCCACACCAATTAAGTCATTTAAGAGTTTCAGAGGATATAATTTAAGAAGCATACAGAGAATCTATCCAAGAATGCTTGTCAACTTGCAAAACTGGTTTTTTAAAAATAGACATTATTGAAGCATAAACCACTGAAATATAGCAAAAGTGATAAAGATACCAGAACTTAAACTCTGGAAGGCGTCTAATGAAGGGCTTGAACTCATCTGAGCCCCTGGTTGGAAGAGATGCTCCATCCAAGCCCTCAACCTCGGGATCTACAATCGGAGACAAGAACCCGATCAAGAGATTCAGCAAATATATCCCGAGCCCATAGGTGACGATGTAGAATCCCTGAAGCAAATAAACCCTCAATACATAGATCAAGGCAACACCGAGAGTCCCCAGCCATCTTCCAACCGGATGCGGGGTGGAACGATCGAGATAGTACTGGAAAGCCCTAGAAAAATCATTCTTCCATCTCGCTATAGCTAAAGGAGCGCCGGAACTATCGCCCGATGCTCCCTCCATAAGCACGACCGAAGCTCTAGATCTAATGAAAACAAGAAAATGGGTGCCGACAGTAGAAGCTGGTGGAATGAGAGCATCATGATTGGGGATCCGTTCTGGCCATTTTATTCTGCGCGCGGATGAATTTTGGCTCGCCTATCAGAATTAGGGCAAATGTAAGGGGGCTAAATGCATCCCATCTGTCTGCTAGTGGAGGGTTTAATTTCATAACTAAAAGATCAAATGCTTTGAGTTATTGTATAAGGCTGTGTATAATATTATAGTTAACAAATTTGCTTGCAGTCTCAAGGGAGGCTTGTGTGGGTGTTTGGTGGTATAATATTAATAGAACTTAATTACGGATTTAATATAAATTCAATTAAATATTAAAAATTTAAAAATTAAATCTAACGCTCTGTTAAATTGAATCTTGTGATTTTCTAACTCTTTTTCGCATTTCGTCTCTTTTATCATGTAAATATGGATTTACTAAATATGATTGCAAGGCAGATTTAAGAATTTCTTCCGTCTTGTTGCGAATATCAACTCCATCACTAATCCGAATTTATTTGAATTATTGACGTAAACTGGGGCAGACCCAAGTAGGATCCCAATGATGCAATTACCCTCCTCCCCTTAAATTCAAATTTTTATTTATATGGAATGACAATTTGGTCTTTTTACGGCTTTTGAAATATTAGTTTTGACCCTACTAAAATATCATTTTGCCTAACCACTCTCAAGTTGGGTCAATGAGGTAATTTGATCCTGGTCAAAAAAATGGTTGTTTTCGTTCGTAAACATGATTATGGGTACCAAACATCCTGTTAAAATGCTTGAATTTTGAGTCATTAAATTTATGAGTCAATTACATACATAGCACCTGAAACATTGCTATTCATAAAATCTTGCACACTCCATCCATTTTTCAAATTCTCACTCAAATATCAAAATTCATAATAAACCACAACCCATATTTTTCATTTTTATCAAATTTTGAATGATTTGTTTGTGGCATGCATAAAGCCATCGAATCGACATTTCAAAAGTATTACATGGGTGTCAGATCTTGTAAATAACAATGTTTTGGTTATCCAAAATCATGTATAGCTGTGTAAACAAGTCAAACAAGAGCGAGCCTAGGTTCAGCTCGTGTTCGGCCTGTTTATATTTCAATCACAAAAAGTGTGTTCGTGTTCAACTCGTTTGTTTATCGAGTCAAACACGAGTTGTTCATGAACAAAATGTCGTTTTGACGACCTTAGTCACGTAGCCAAAAGATGTTAGGGTTGGGGCAAGATTTAATTTTTTTTTATTTATATGAAAGCATCCTTTAAATCTAATTTAATAATTTTCATTCTATTTTTTTAATTAATACTTTTAATTAATTATAAATGTCTGGAGCCTTGTTATATAAATAAATATACATTTGAGTCGAATTAGTATTTGATGTTGTGATGCTAGTTTGAACATTTATTTGATTAAAAGTTTTGAAATTGGAGTTAAATTAATTTAAAGAGCTTTTAATTCAAATTTTATATTGCAATTCATGCTCTCAAGTGTTTTTTATTTTTTTATTTGTCAGCGAACTTAAATAAATGAAAACAATTCAGGCTCTCAAGTGTTTTTTTTTTTATTTGTCAGCGAACTTAAATAAATGAAAAAGCAAGTGTATGTCCAAATTTCATTTATATAACCTTCAACTAAAAAATAAAAATAGATTTATTTAATTTATTGATTTTAATTAATTTGAATGTGTATTACTTTAACTGAAACATAGTTTTTCATCTAACTTATTAATATAACTTATTTAATTCATTGTTCGTGAATAGCTCGTGTTCAGGTCATTAAGAAGCTCGTGTTCGGCTCCTTCGCTAAGTTAACGATTTTGTTTGTTCGTGTTCGGCTCGTTTTGGCTCAAAATACTACCAAATATATAAAATACTACTATATATATATAACTTAGCGAAGGAGCCTAACACGAGCTTCTTAATGACCTGAATACGAGCTATTCACGAACAACGAATTAAATAAGTTATAAGTTATATGAAAACCTATGTTTCAGTTAAAGTAAAGTAATACACTTCAAATTAATTAAAATCAATAAATTAAATAAATTTATTTTTATTTTTTAGTTGAAGGTTATATAAATGAATTTTGGGCATACGCAATTTCATTTATTTAAGTTCGCTGACAAATTTAAAAAAAAACACTTGAGAGCATGAATTACAATGTAAAATTTGAATTAAAAGCTCTTTAAATTAATTTAAATCCAATTTCAAGGCTTTTAATCAAATAAATGTTCAAACGAGCACCACAACATCAATACTAATTCGACTCAAATTCAAACGAGCACAAATAAACCATAAAAAAACACAGTTAAAAACAATGACATTATCATGCAACTAAACAATATTATGAAATTACATGATTATAAGCAAATTAAGCTTATAGGTGAGAGATCAAAAGTTAAATAACACTAAATTTTAATATTTTTAAAGGAATTTAGATACCAACATAATGATTTATAATCAATGGAATAAATATGAGACATAAATAGACCATTAATTACTACATAAAAGTGATATTGACTTAAATTTGAAAAAAAAAACATATTATAAAAATATTTTTTTATAGAGCTACACCCAACATTCAACTTTGATTATAATCCAGAATCACTGGCTCATACACCATTATCTAGAGATTATTATATGGTTGTCATTGTTTAACTGTTAATGATTGGCTGTTGTCATCCGATCATTGAAGTCTGATTATTTTCAACCAACCACTATGATTTGATTATTGTCTTTCTCTCCTCTCCCAGTGATATCTTTTGAATGACATTGAGCAATTACGATCTCTTGATCTCCATCACCCAATATTTGATATTCAATAAATTTTCTCTAATTGCCATTTTTTTTGCCATCAACACCTTTTATTGATACTTCAATGATGTCAATTACAAATGTACGAGACCACATTACAATTCTTCACTTAGTAATCTTGTCATCTCTAGTTGAAAAGAATAGCTTAATTTTATGATCTTATTTACTTATGGGATCAATTCAAATTGGTAGAGCCTTATAATTTTTTTTTTTAGTTTTAATGTTTGTTGTGTGCATGAAAATTTGTGATGGTAGAGTAATAGATTAATGTCTAAGGGTCGAATGAAATCCGGCGCATACACACAGAAGATAAAAATAACATGAAGAGACACCAAGAATTTTTTTTTTGTGGAAAAACCCATAAAGGGAGAAAAGCTATGGAACCCTACCCATTTAAAATGATTCAATATAATTTTGTCAGCACAGATATAAACCCTTATCCCATAACTGGGAAAGGGATACAATGTTTCTCTAAGTACAAAGTTCGCAAGCATAAAGGTTCATTATACAACGGTCAGTAACACTTGCCACTAAGAGTTGTTAGTGGTGATGTGTGGTATGGTGTGTTTGGGATATGTCATTAGAGGGTGTTTAGGACATTGCGTTACTTTGGATGGTGTTCATTACTCCACAAATTATGTCGTTGCTCCATAAGATGCTTACGCATCATTGCTTCATAAGAAGCTTACACACTGTTGCTTCGTAAAATGCTTACACATAGTTACTCCGCAAAAGGTTTACTAATGGTGTCAAACAAGGGGCGGTCGAAGAGAGGGGCCAGGCGGCCCAACCAACGATGTTCAGCGGTTATGGAGGCAAGAAGTTATTATCTGATTTTAATATTTGTACTGAGCCTAAGACTGAGTTTGGGCTTTTGTGATTATACCTAGCCTTGGGCAATTAGGTTAGCCTGAAAAAGATTAGGCGTGGTAGGCCTTCATAATTAACCTAATTGAATAATTATGTTAATTATGAAGGCTACCTCCTTAATTTAATTGTGTTTTTTAATTGGTTATGGTGTTAACACTTTAAGTTGATTATGATTTCATTTTTTATAGATTTAGTTGTTTATCAATTGGTTTGATTATTTGATTCAAGTAAACTTGGGTCCAATAGGTTTTTGGTGAATTTTGGTAATTTTGAGTTTTTGGGTTAAGTTGAAGTGTCCAAGGCTTATGTTAATTTTAGGGTTAGTTGGTGTTGGGAAAAATTAGGTGAGACCAAAGTTTGATTTTGGTGACCTACCCCTCCCTTTGTTTTGAATTTCAAAGTAATGGGATTTTTAGGGTTTTTAGGGTAATGTGGTCAGATATAAAATTTTCCCTTGGCCTAAGACTAGCCTCGTGCTTGATGGACTTGTGTTTGAAGAGAATTAATGGGGCAGTCAATGATTATTAGTGAGATCTTTAAGAAACTAGGCTCCAGGAGTAGCTTAAGTCAATTTTGACCTATAGGAATTTAACCAAAGTTTGATTTTGGTGACCTACCCCTCCCTTTGTTTTGAATTTCAAAGTAATGGGATTTTTAGGGTTTTTAGGGTAATGTGGTATGTCGTTTTGACGACCTTAGTCACGTAGCCAAAAGATGTTAAGGGTTGGGGCAAGATTTAATTTTTTTTATTTATATGAAAGCATCCTTTAAATCTAATTTAATAATTTTCATTCTATTTTTTTAATTAATACTTTTAATTAATTATAAATGTCAGGAGCCTTGTTATATAAATAAATATATATTTGAGTCGAATTAGTATTGATGTTGTGATGCTAGTTTGAACATTTATTTGATTAAAAGTTTTGAAATTGGAGTTAAATTAATTTAAAGAGCTTTTAATTCAAATTTTATATTGCAATTCATGCTCTCAAGTGTTTTTTATTTTTTTATTTGTCAGCGAACTTAAATAAATGAAAAAGTGTATGTCCAAATTTCATTTATATAACCTTCAACTAAAAAATAAAAATAGATTTATTTAATTTATTGATTTTAATTAATTTGAATGTGTATTACTTTAACTGAAACATAGTTTTTCATCTAACTTATTAATATAACTTATTTAATTCATTGTTCGTGAATAGCTCGTGTTCAGGTCATTAAGAAGCTCGTGTTCGGCTCCTTCGCTAAGTTAACGATTTTGTTTGTTCGTGTTCGGCTCGTTTTGGCTCAAAATACTACTATATATATATAACTTAGCGAAGGAGCCTAACACGAGCTTCTTAATGACCTGAATACGAGCTATTCACGAACAACGAATTAAATAAGTTATAAGTTATATGAAAAGCTATGTTTCAGTTAAAGTAAAGTAATACATATTCAAAT